GAGGAACAATGCCATTCATTCCAGATAAAATTATTCCCAGGTCATATTGCTTTGTAAAAACTTTAAGAAAATAATGCACAATATAGCACATATTAGGTTCTTTCTTTCTTTCTTTCTTTCTTTCTTTCTTTCTTTCTTTCTTTCTTTCTTTCTTTCTTTCTTTCTTTCTTTCTTTCCCACATTTTCTAGACCTTGAGATAAATGCCTATACGAGATAAAATAATCTTAAATTCTAGAATACTGCACTACAAAATCTGTTATACAACTTGGATTTTTAAATCCAAAAAAGCTACAATAATGATTTCAAGATTGTCATTTAGGATGTTTCCAGTCTATTAGTTTCACTGGTGCACAAATCCACTCTTAATAATATTAACACTTCATTAAGCAGCTGGGACACTTCACCTGGATGAGGTCTTCGTGTTGCTGCCAGTCATTTAAAAATTAAGGTATAGACCCCCTGAATAGCCCTTAATCTATCCATAAGAGAAATATATCCTGCAAAAGCTTCCTACAACTGATTTGCAAAAGCAAAATAGAAAATGTTTCCAGACTAACAGTGCACTGTAACTTCTGTGACAAAACAGACTGGTACTTAACCCATTAGGAGCTCAAACAGAAAAATGCTAGTCCTTGGTAATTCAAGTCCAGTTTTGTATAGTCCCTCTTTTCCTTCTGTACAATGGAATGTGATGCAATTCCTGAGATATGAGCTGTACACTCTCGTCTGCTTGGAAAAAGCAAGTGACCATTGGGCAACCAAGAGTTCCTGAAGGCTTTCTTTCTTAATAGCTGACAGCCTCCAAAAATTACTGGGTGGCTCCCATGTCATTTCCCCATATTGCTACCTCAGAGGAATCATTCAGTCAGACAAAGCTTGCCTGCTAATGAGGTACCACAGGGTTCTTTTATTCCACTGTCTGATTGACTGGTCTGGCAGACCCATCCAAGTATCCTGGATTTAGATGATTTTGAAATCTGGTCATGAGTATTGTGCTTTCATGTGTGCTGTAATATGACACCCGCTGGATTCAAGAGGCTGGATGAGAATGTCAGTAAAAATTAATATTAACAAGCAAATATGTTTAAGCTCTTCTTTTTTACAAAGCTTAGATATATGATTCTCATGCTCTCTGGAAATCTGGTAAGCGGAAAGAAATTAAAATCATTTGACATATATTTATTACTTAATTTAGGCCAGGGATATTTACTCTATCTATCTATCTATCTATCTATCTATCTATCTATCTATCTATCTATCTATCTATCTATTTTCAGGGTTTTGCAGCCTCACTCTTGAATTCTGAATGCTTGCATTTGGCAGCAATTAAAATCTCATTCTCCAGGTTCCTTGCAGAGGTCAGCCCCTCTGTTCCACTTTTTTTTGCTTCATGGGGAGTGAGATCCAGGTGCTGACTTGTCATACAACAGAAGTCAGCACAGTTTATTTTGCAGATTATCTGAAACTCTTGTTTTCTCACTGCTTGCAGTCAGACCAGGATTTTGGATGTGGAGGACATCAATGATCAATCTAGAACCTTAGGCAATTTAATAAAAACCTGCTCTTCTTTCTGCCCTCCAACATGAAATTATTGTAGTGGTAGCTTGTATCTTCAATTTGAAACTCTACAGTGCAAATTGATAACTAATCTTGGGGGAAAAGAATAAAGTTCAAGGCCATTTTTTTCTACGTTTTGTGTTCACTAATAGTTGGGTATGAGACATAGCCAATATCATACATTTCAAAATTAAATCTCTCCTAATCTGAAAAGTCAACATTTCATTCACATTTCATCCTGTGGTTTACAGCACATCCATTAAACTCCTACCTAAAACATAAAACAAAATTTTAATTTCTAATAGAAAATACAGAAAATATTAAAACTTATACCACAAGCAAGATTTAAGATCTAAAGACTTATTTTATCAGCACTGCCTTTAACCTGTTAATTGATAACAGCAACTATTATATTATAATGTTTCTTTTAAAGACAAAGTAACAAATATATGCTTCAGAGATGATAAAATTATTCATATATCTTTGTTTTACTTTTTCTGTATAGGCCATTTGAAATATTATGGATGATAACTTAAAAATATATAAAATCAAAGTAAATCTAGTTCCATTTAATTCTTCATTAGAAAGTACTGACAGGTTTCTGCAATAACTGTATGACTATATCCAATATTTTAGGATTCTAAGAAATAGTTAAGTATGAAGTTTCTGAATAATTGGTGTAATTATTAATCTATGAACTTAATTTAAAAGTCAGTAATGTAATTTATAAGAAAAATGTGGTCCTCTTGAAGACATAGAAAGAGACAGAGCATCTCTCAATATTTGCTTTTATAAAACAAAATTGCCCATATGAAAGGGAGTTCTTTAAGAAAAGGTAGCAGTCTAAATTAACCGTCTTCAAAATAGTATTTTTAAATGGGAAGGGAAGGGAAGGGAAGGGAAGGGAAGGGAAGGGAAGGGAAGGGAAGGGAAGGGAAGGGAAGGGAAGGGAAGGGAAGGGAAGGGAAGGGAAGGGAAGGGAAGGGAAGGGAAGGGAAGGGAAGGGAAGGGAAGGGAACTGTCTAAGTTTCTGAATTAGTAAGTTCACATATTGTGATAGCTTTCTCTGACCTGAACTTCATCCAGCACTCATTCCTGCTGCAAATATAGCAGCATGGATATTGAAGGCAGTGCACAGTTATGGGTGAGGCAGGTACCCTGCGGCTCTCACTGAAAGAATGTGCAAAATAGAGACAAATACACCTAAGCCTATAAGATTTCTGCCGTCATCCAAAAATGAAGGCTAAAGAGAGGCTGCCATTCCACAGCAGTGAGGCCATCAGGAGGTAGCAACAGTTGGAAGAGAGAAGAGATTTCAAGCAAGGAAGTCTCCCAGACTTCCATATTTCATTTAACAGCTCTGAGCACCTGGCTTAATTCTATGGTTTGTGTTTTCTAGTATTTTAATACTGCTATGCTTGCTTTTCATGAATGACTAATAAAATGAAAAGCCAGCACTGGCTTTTTTAACTTAACTGACCATATTGCAATTACAGTTTTTGTTTCCTCATCTAGTTCAGACTATCACACTGAATGACATTCCTCTGACCCCTCCATCAGAGGCTAGGGAAAACTGGCAAGCAGTACTTTCCAGCCATACTTTAAACTGTCTCCACCAGTGACACAAAGTAGCTGTCTGTGTGTGGATTCACCGTCTGCTGAAAGGAAATGGGTTATTTAATGCCATTTCCAGCCAGTCTGACTAATCTGTTAGCTCTGCACTGCAAAGAACAAGTACATGGTCACGAGGTAGTGTGGAACACTAGATGGGGATGGAACAGGGAGTATCATCATTTGAGGTCATATGCCATTACCATGACTGTCTAAATTACCTTAAAAATGAGACAGGGAAGGGTGTTTGTTTCTGAAAAAATTACGTTCTCTATGAGATGACAGCCACATTACCTTACCCTTTTTTTTTTAGCTTTTATATTGTTAAACTTAACATAAGAGAAATATAATGACTTTTTTTTTCTTTTTTTTCTGATTTTCCCATGAAAAATTAAAGTTTCTTTTTTTTTCCCCTCAGGTTCTGCAAGCAGCGAATTTTGGAACAAACTGCTCTGCTTTGTTATTTAAGAGCAAAAGACATTTTAGGATGCAAATATCCATAACAGGACTAGGGATCTTACAGGTTTGTTGGGAAGAAGGTATTTCTTAATCACTTGAGAGCATGCAGGGTCTGCAGTCTAATTCAATGTGTTTTGTAAAAAAAGCAAGGGGTGTGAGTTTACTTATTTAAGCAAAGCCCTTAAGCACATTAAGCATTTAAAACATTGAGACTGAATGTACTTAATTGCTTTGCTGTATTTGAGTCATGATTATTGTAATAATTAGTTTGTGCTCAGTTATTTCTTGTCAGTGCATGCATTTAAGGGTTATTGAATGAATAAACTGATTAATAATATTTGCAGTGAGAAAAGGAAATATAATTAGCTTTAATATAGTTAAAATACATTTTGCTTTTAAAAATCCATCCCTCCCCATGAAACAAAGTGTAACAAACTTGTGAGAGGATTTGAAAATTCTCCAAGTGTTTGGGTTTTCTGTTGGGTTCTTGGTTGTTTGGGGGCAGTTTTTTTTGGGGGGAGGAGTGATGGTGTGGCTATTTGTTGGAGGAGAATTGCTTTGAGGAAATACATCAAACAGGAAACAGGTAAGTTTTCAAAAACAATGTCTGTCCCACTTTTGCCTTCTGGTCTGAGCATCCAGGCTTCACAGGTCTTGGACTACCCCTCAACTTTTATGGTTGTTGTGGGCCCCAGCCCATTCAGACTTTTCCTCCAAACTGGAACCCAGAATCATTGAGATCCCAAATCTCATGCACAGACCACAAAACACGGAACTGGAAAATGTGTAACTTTCAGGCAACGGTTGATTCCTCATGGCTTGAAAACATTTTTTCCCATGCTGTGACCCTCCCTCTCTGTTAGCTTCCAAGACTGTTTTCACCTCTGAAACTTCCTGTTTTATACAAATTTGTGGAAGGAGGCAAAGGAAATGCCTTTTAATAGTAATTTTAAGATGTTCTACTTTCAATTAATCTTTCAAACACTTCACCAAGTTTCTTGTTGTTTTTTGTTTTTCCTGAGCATTCATAGATTAGAAATCAAAAATTCAGAATTCACTTACAAGCAAGCTATTTAAAATATTCATTTTGAAATTGCCATTTAATAGTTAATCCTTTTCTTCCTTAGACCTATTCCTAATAAATTAAACTAGTCAAAACATAAAATACTGTGGCACTTCTTACTACTATATTATTCAAGAAATTTGTAAACATTTACATGTTTGAGGTGTTGCATTAAGAAGCTGTATGATTCTCAGTAGGATTTACGGACAATATCAATTTACTTGGTGTTATGTTGGTGTGCTTTATAAAACTGCAAAAGACTACAAGATTGTTTGAAAGCATGTTGAAATCTCAGTTTTGTACAATACATCATGCTTAAAAACTAATTTTATTCACAAATGTATTAGTCCAATTATCTCAAGTAGGAAAAATCCACAATCAAGAAACAGCAATTGCAAAAAAGACACAGCTATGTTATCATCTTGATTTTCCAGAGTATATTTTCACACAAGTATGATTTTAGATTTAGATAAGATAACCATAATGCACAGTTACCTATGAACTAAATATACATTGTTTTCTTCTGCTGCATCAGTAATATGAACTTCTCTTGAGTATGTATGGTCTTCTAGCTTTGTTCACATGTAGCTGCCGTTTCAGAATATAGGGATTTTTTCTCTTCATGATTTCTTTTTCTTGGCTTGAGTTCTCCAGATCAAAAGCATCTTGCTGTAGTAACTGTAGGATGCAAGAAGAGACACACTGTTATCTACTTTTTTTGGTAATGAAGATTATAATCTCCTCCAAATTTTAATAAAATATTAACTTTTTTTTTGCCACCAATAAAATCTGTAGCTGCAGCATTAATTAAAAAAATATATAAAACTCAAGACACAAAACTAAAATGAGGCTAAAGATGAGCTGAGCCTTACAGAAGTGATTTTTAAATTCCACTTCAACAGATTAGATAACTGGTTTTGACTAGAGATGAAAGCTGGTTTATCCTCCTTAGACCAAAACTCAAATAGACTGGAAGTTTTCTAATGACTATCACTCTGTTATCACACGTTTAGGTTAAACACCTGCATGCACTGCTTGCTGGTTTCAGTTGTTGAGAAATATTTTATTCTATAATTTCCTGCAAAGCAGGGAACTGTGATTAAGACATATGGGTTATTGCATATTTGGTTCTAGGGTAGTTCCTTTCCAGCAATAAATGCACTGAAGAAGAGCATCTTCAGAAAACTCTGGCTCTCAAAGAGGTTGCAATCCTTTGCATGGACCACCCCAGCTAACATGAGGATTGGGAATATAAAGAGCTATGACAGCAAAGCAAAACAAAACAAACAAAACCCCAAACAAACAAACAAACAAACAAAACCAAAACCCAAAAATATCTGGATTCGTCTAGACTGTACATGAACCTGAGATAGGTGAAGAAATTTGCTTTACTGGAAAGTGGGTAGTGACACTGAGTTATCTTTTTTCACTACACAAAGCAGCTTTTAGTGTAATATCTAACAATGCAAGTGGATTGTGCCTAGTGTGCTTCTGTGCAGTCACTGTAATCATTGTACTAAACTAAATATCAGAAAAGGACTATAAACAATCACTGTTTAAGAGCAGCAATCTTCATACAATCACAATGTCAACTTCCAGGGCCCTCTTTAGGTATAGGGAAACCAAAGCAGGAGTTACCTTGTTGCCAGTTTCCTAGCAATGATAAGAAAACCAGAATACCCAGTAAAATGGTATGTACACCTGGGCATGTATGCCTGCATTTTGAATCCCGTTTGCCTTAGGGTCTTCAAACAGAAACACTGGGCACATTTATTTATGCTTCAATAGATCTATAATAACCTCATGTCTGTTAGGCAGATATTAATTATATTTTGTGGCGTAGTGATGACTTTCATATGTTTGCTTGGTTACCTGAAATGGCTACAAAGAGTGAAGAAAGTATGCAGTTAAGAAAAGTTCTCATTTATCCATGGGTTTTTGTAAGAAACATACACTCAGGTCATCAGAAACTGCACTAATTCACTGCTCATACTGAAAGAGGCATATTAGAGGTACTAGAGAATATAAAAAAGGGAAGGAAAGCTCAGACAATGTGATAGAGGTCACATGGATATGGATTTTACAACATCACTAAAAACAGAGTCTGAGAGTTTAATAGCAGTAGAAATATGCATTTGTGATCATTTGTGTTACCTCCCAATGCTGAAAAGCTCTGCTGTGGCAAACTTTTTGGAGTTGATATACTGTCAGCATTGCTTCCAAGCTGAAGCCATCCAGAGCGGCAGGGAACTGTCTTCCTGGAACCAGATCCTCCTCATCTACCTCTACTGTTTCCCCCATTTGGTTGTTTATGTTGTTGACAAGATTGCAGACATTTAGCAGGGTCACTTTCCAGTAAGGAAGTTTTGCTCTGTTAATCTGAAAATAAAGACACCCACCATTTAATGTATTTTGGGTTTTTTGTATCCACGTGCTACATTCAAACGTTTTGTTAGAAACAAGTTTATGTTTCTGAAGTGCTTTTCATCTGGTCAACTTTTAGAAAATAATTAGAGTGCAGAACTTAGGACAACTCATTTATTACACACGCCAAGTCTGCTTCCTTGCAGCCTTGCCCCCCAGGTAGATATAAATGATGAAAAAGCTCAGCTGCTACCAAACCAGAATGGCAGCATTTCATAGTCATTCTGCACAGGTGCAAACAAAAACACAGATGGAAATTAATATAATATAAATTCACAGGTGTAAATAAGGACAATGAATCAAACCCACTGGATAAATTCCCAGCTCAGGAATCCAAGCTGGATGCCTTGGTTGACTAGACACTCCTCCATAGTTCAGCACAAATACCAGTCATCCCAAAATTCCCTGAGAAAAGGAATCCCTTTTTCAGGACAAGCCATCTGATGAGTCTGGGTCTGAAGTTACAGAATCTGTAAGCCCCAGGAGTTTTGGATGCTGGAAAGTGAAGAGCCTGGGAGATGTTAATTGAAGATCTATAGGCTTAGGGAGATGGAGCAAAGACAAAACATAGCTGTGAAAACAAAGTACTCCTGATTTGGTAACTGGACTGAAAAACTGAGACCAACTGTATTTATGTGGCCCATCATGAACCTGTTATAGAAAGATAGAAAAAAGGAAATTTCACCATGGTTTGTCTCAAATTTTGCTTTTTCCAATATATTGCATTATGAATGAGTTCTTAAACCATTTTAAAGAAATGCTGATAAGCATGATTTTTACTTTTCTACTGGTATTGTTTTTTCCAAGCAGTTGCAGCAGCAGTCTTCCATTTTGATTTTTGATTATCAATAGCAAAAATGTAAGTTTAAAACTTAATTCCTATCTCATCTACTGCTTTTCATTATTTTTGCCATTTTCTTCATTCTCCCACTACTAATTATTTCTTCTGCACTGTATTCCTTTCAGTGCTGAGTATAGAATTGAGTTTCCTTCAACTAGAACTGGTGACATAGCAATCTCCAACCAAAAGCCAAATAGCAAATTCCTAGGTATTCCTTGCAAGAATTTCCTTGCTATGCACATTAGGATTAGACCTTACCTATGAACTGAAATGTAGTTGCTTCTTTTCCTGTATGCATGAAGTTAAATACAGGTATGACACTAACACAGACATTGCCTTTCACACATACTTGGAAGCACTGATTGAGTGTGGATGTAGTGAACCTGTAATCAGGTAATCACATAACCTGATTCTTTAGGGCTCCTTCCTAACAAAGGGGCTTTTCGTGCAAGATTTATGTATATTCATCACACTTGACTATTTTTTGAGGAAAAAAAAAGTTCAGAGAAATGAGGAAGAAACAAGAAAATTTGGCATCACTTTTAGCATTAGTTACAAAAAGTTTTCTTTTGTCCATGATCATTACTCCAACATAGATCTGATAAATATGTGCCCTTCAAAATAAGAATGATTTAGCCTTTTAATAAAACTGCTGTGTATTCTCAGATTCCTGACAATGTTAAACAAAAAAAAAAGATTATTTTGTTTTGAGGCTAAGAAATCAAATCTGAAATCGTATTTGGAAGCTTGTAATTGGTTCTGCACTCTTTACTTTGAGCTCATCTGTTTTCTCATTGAAGTACCCTAGTTAGTCTATCAAATTACTTAAAAAGATGTGACAGTTTCAAGATAAAATTATTCTCTTTGCAGAATATCTAATTTTATCAACAGAAGTTAAACTTGGGAAAAGATCAAATACCCAAGGCAATTTCAAAATATTCTTTGGTCTGTTTTAATATATTTTTGAAATATAAAAATATGTAGCTTTCCATGAAAAATGAGGAGGCTTCTCCAGTTCACTGCTCTCTCCTGGGTATGCAAAAGAAATGTGAGCTGGCACTGCAACAGCTAAATTGCAATGGAGCATAGAATCTAGAGGTAGTGCTATGTGAGCAAGTGAGATTTCTGAGTTGAGAACCAAAAATATTCCAGTGGATAGAAACAGAAGAGTAAAGGATAGGGTAATTTTTCATGCCTTCTTGCATAATTTATAGAAACTTTTTGATCTAAAGTTACTGCTTCACGTCATTCTGCACATCTACGTATAAAGGAACTTTCCTCTGTGTATTAGTAAAGTACTTAAATAGCAGATTTGTTTAGGTGAAAATTGTCTTAGCTCCTACTTATGAGATGAGGAGAAAACAAATTTGCACTGCTGACTGCAAGCTTCTAATTAATATTTCATTTGTTAAGGGAGTCTCATTCCTATTAATGCCATGAATATATCACCTCACAGTATTTTTACTTGGATACTGCTTCTGACTTACTGCTACCATTAACAATTCAGTCAGAGTGAATTTTGGGTTATTTTAATTGAATGTGGAGTTTTCCAGGTCATGTCCAGTCACTAAACAAGGCAGTCATGTTATTTTTCTGCTCTGCTATCACATCAAGCATTAAAATCAAAACACTTTGCTTTTCTGGGTTATGGAAAATATCTTAGGCAGTTATCCTAAAGGTATATGTAAAAAAACAGTCTAAGATGATGATAATCCAAATTTTAAGATTAATTTATAATGTGGGATATATTTATATGTATTTTCCGCACAGATCTAATCAATATCAAGTACAGTAGCTCAACGCATGGTTTGGAAAACACCTACACAATAAAACAAGTAACCTTTATCTGCCAAGGTAGAACAAATTTTTTTAAGAGTAACTTGAAAAATATCTGGGAATAATCTGAAGAGAAAAAGGAGATTGAAGTATGAACTAGAATTAAAAAGGTATATGAATACTGAAGTGAATATAATGTATGAATTTCCACCATTGAACATGCTTATAAATAAGAATCAGATATATAATTTCTCCCACTTCATGGATCTTGAAAGAGAATTTAAGATCATCTAAGAAACTGAAATAAGTGTATTTCCTTCTTTGACAAGAGGCTTGTCCTATGCAAGACAAAAGAGATTTCCAAGTTACAATTTATATGGTATTTTATTTCCATATCTGGTTGAATGATACCCCTGATAGTTTGCCTAAGATACTTCTTTTGTTACAATCCATCCATACATCCCAAATGCTATTTTTCATTAGGGAAAATTACATCTGCTTTTTACATTCTTGTCTTTATCTAGTAAAAGCAGATAAAAAGCAAATTCATCACAAAGTAAAAATCCCTAGTTAGTGTAGGATCTCTATGGTTCTTTTCCGTGATAGCAGTTGAATTTTGTTCAGATTGTAACCATAGAAATAATATAGTTAATCAGACATACCAGTGAATTCTGTCAAAGAAGAATTTCTTCCATGGTGCATATTAATGCCTGTAAACCTAATTAATTTTTATGCAATGACTGAGTCAGGAAGTCACTAGCTCCTAGATAGCTGTAGGTTCCTCCTACTTCTAGACAGCTCCTCAGACAAGGAGGCTAAACTCTCTGGGAAAATGCACTCATAAATAGGCATCCCACAACAATGAAAACTCCATGGGTCCATGGCTTCAGAAAATTGATGTTGGGTGGGATCCCAAAGGCGGAGTATATTCTAGGGTTGATATATTCTCCAAGGAATACTTTCATTTTACTTTCTTTTCCCCCTCTAAATAACATAGTGTCAACCTTTTGAGTTCAAAAAATATTCTTTGTGCAACTAGTGGTTTCAGGCAAGCATTTAGGAAGCTAGAAACAGTTATCTCTTTGCTATAAATAGAGTTTTTTTTATTTAAAACAAGAGAGATGGGAGATAACTGTCCACATATTTTGACAAGTCAGGTTTTGTTCTTTTACCTGACCTTCAAAATGGCTTTTTGGATTTTATCTTAGGAAAAAGACAGAGCATTTTTAAGGACTTGTTTGATCCTTGTATCTTGGTTCAGATGTAACAGCAGGGAAGGGTAACAAACTGTATTAAGTGTTGAAGACAGATTGCAATAAGCATGAACTAATTCTTTAAGGATTGAGAGTGATTTAGCATATAGGTGACTTTAAGAGCAACTTGAAAAGGGGCAGCAGGCACTGGACAGCAGTCTGTGAAGTTAAAGGCATAAGGCAATTCTTCCCATAATACTGGATAGACTACTGAATATTGCAAAAGGTGTGTTTAAGCCATGGTTGTAGTCTTGATACTATAGTCCACAAGTGCCTACTTAGGCAGATTTTTGTTCTATCAAATACTAAACCCACAAGTGATAATCCATTTTGCTGCACTTTCAGATCTCAGCTTTCATAAACAGTAATTATTTTCCCATCTTAATGCTGTTTAAATTGTTAGGATTTCCTTTGCTGATTACCAAGTAAGTGTCAAATACAGTCTGTGCAATTTAGCAGTAATTGCCCTCAAATGGAACCAGATCTCAGGCACAACACAAGACAGGTATTACACATACTGTCTTCAAATTTGTCTAACACACCAGAACCATAATTTGTTGTAATGAGGGTTAAAATCTGGTAGTGGACAACAGACAAAAAGTAATTTCAGTAATTAATGGGATTGTGATATTACTCTTGTAGAAGACTTGATACACAATTTTTAGTGTTTCTACCATGTCTTGCTTTGATGTAGAGACAACATAAATTCAACTAATGAACTTTAGATGGTGATTTAAGGCAGTATAATGCAGAATTAAAGCAATGAAAGCAATGTCTCCAACATGAATCTACTGCTTCTGTCAACTTCAAGTGTCAGTTGACTGTGGTAAATACCCTAAGGGAGCTAAACAGCAAGCTACATAACATCAAAAAACGTATTATGGCAAACATTGTGACACTATTAACTGGTGCAATATATTTGTGCTTTTGGAGTTACCTGAGCTTGTGTTCTGTGGTGAGAGGGAGGAAAAGATGGAAATTATGTTCACAGATCCACTAAACTCAGTAGCAGAAATACCAATAGCTGCAGGGTTTTATTCCAGGGCATCATATGCCTTGCCACAGAGCAAAAAATCTATTTTTGTCAGCCTCTTACATTAAATACATTTCAGAAAAGGAGAAGTTATTAAATCTTTCTGAACCTTAGAAAAGTGAGTGGCCAATGGGTTTATTTGTAATCTGAGGTTAACTTATCATGCCAGTAAAGAATGAGATCTAAGAACTGCCAGACCAGTTAAAGAAAATGCATTTTCTGGCTTCATACTTCTAGTCTATCAAATAATCCTGTGAAAAAGGCCACATATACTTAAATGCAATATATGCAGAAGTCATCCTGGCAGGTTTTGTTTTTAACCTTCAACTAGTCATTGGCTTATGTAAATTTCTTTTTTGGGGGAGAAATTTTTCATTTCCCATTTTATTTTTCATTACATTTAAATAACGACTTAAACTTTATTGGACTAACAAATTAAAATATTCACCTTAAACCCATAGCATTTGTTTCAGAGTTAGTTCTTTGTATGTTGTTGAAGACATATCAGACACATATGTTTCTTAGATCATTTATGGAAATTAATTGTGTTGAGAAAGTGTCTATCAGCCTGTCCAATACATACGTGCAACAGTATCTGCTTCACCCTGTCAATATGAGGTTTTCACTGAATTTTTATATATTCATATTAAATAACATAAACATTATTCACAGTCTGGAAACCTGTCACGGAAATGCCATTTACAAAGTTAGTATTTTCACAGTCATGCCCCCATGTTCCTGTACTGGCACTATGATCAAAATCCTAAACCAAAATTGGCATATGTATTGACTGGTTTTGCTTTATGATTGTCTTAATTTTATATGCATATAGGAAGGGTTCTGCATAAAAATAGCACTTACAGATTTGACTCAAGGTTAATTTAGCTTTCATCGGGCATAATCTTATTGGAAACACATTTCCTCACATAAATTTACATCTCTGTACATAACACAGTTTTGACAGTTTAATGAAAGTACCAGTGTTACAGCTGAGGAACATGTTTAGTGTGTCACATCAACACCTTTATATTCCCTTTGAACTGGAGAAAATCTTGCACCAAAGTAAAACCTAACACTGAACTTTTATGTCTAGACCGTAGGTTATTACTTTGTGCAAAGACTTTTGGGTTTGTAATGAGAATTCATTTGCTCCCTCCCTGTCAGGTAAAGGAAGAAAAATAATTACCTTTGATGTGTACATATTGGTCAATAAATCTGCTTCTAATGCTTTCATTTCCTCTTCTGAATCTGGGAATAAACCAGAAACATATGTTTATTATTTGATCATAAATCATGGACATTTCAATTCAGTATACAGAACTTAGATATTTAAATGGTTTTTAAAAATAAACAACAAACACAAACACCAGTGACCTAGAAGGACTGTCGCGAGTCTTCAGTTAACAGCAACATTATAGACAAATAAATACTCAACATATTTTTAAAGCATATCAAGCTTATTGAACTGAATGGAACTGTTCATTAATCTCAGCTTCATAGTAGAAAGGCTCATTAATCTGCAATTCCTTTGGTATTAAAAACCTGCAATATTCTTCATTATTTTCATAATAAATATTTGTAACCTTTACTTACTTTGAAAAAAAATTGAATATTTTTCAAATAATATTTATTTAAGCAGTAATTATTTATGTAAATTGCAGTTATGATTGCTTGACTAATAATCAATATTCTTTATTATTAATTAAGAATACTTAATTAAATTAATGGTATTTTTACTGATATGAGGGAACTGAGCTTGACCAGTTTAGGATACAAGCTCTTGACAATGTATATACAAGAAGAAAGTATTCTGACTGGAAGTCTATGGATTTTCTTTACTGATTTAATCGACCTTTGATAGCTCAGTAGACTTGCAAGACTTATGATTTGATAAATAGGGTAAAAATTGCTGTGGAAAGAGGAAAAAAACAGACATATTTCTACACACAGCATCACAAGGTGAAGATGAGAATCGCAATGAAGATCTGGTGCCTTGGTTGCAGCAATCACAGCTCAAAGAGAAAAAATGTAAGGAATCAGTTAAGCCTTTAGGTGAAATACAGTTCCACATAGCTTTTACCTTTCCTGGAATACCAACAGTCCAAAACCAAACAATGCACTAACATTTCAAACCATACTAAACCAAAATATATTCCATATTCATATAGGTAATATCTCACTTTCAATAATCAATGCTGTTGGCATGTAAGACTCTACCACTGAATATGGGGATAGATTCAGCCCATGCCTTCATTTCAGGGATCATCACCATGTTGTGTCATTACCTTTCACAGAACATGTAAGAGACCACAAGAACATGCTAATGTGCCACAGGTTTCTATCAGCACAGAAGCCACTCATTACAATGTTCTTAAAAATCGGTCATATTCAATCTCAATGAATATCACAATTACTATCACTTTGTTTCTTCTTTAGGAAGCTCTCCTAAATGTCAGTGCTTATTCACTTGCTTCTGATTTCAAGTCTAATTTATTTCTAATTACAAATGTATCCATAGTTTGCAATAAATTCCTGCACTATAAATAATACCTTTCTATTTGCAATATTTACCCATCATGTATTTATTGAGAGGAATCATTGCTCTTCCAAGCTTAGTGCTTTTGTGTGTCCTTACAAGATTAGGAAACAAGTGCAAGATCACTGTGTCCTTTTGGTCAAAAACCATCACTCTGGAAATCCCACAAATGCTTCATTGAAAGGCTATTCCCAGATTTATTGAACTCTAACCTATTCTCCTTCCTTGCAAAAGCCTTGTATTCCCCAACTCATCAGAGCAGCTCTCTTCTGTCCCTGATGTGTTCTCAAGGGAGAACAGCATAGCACAGTTTGGTCCAGCAAGCTCAATACTTAATCACCTTAATGCTTAGCATTAGCTTCAGAGGGCAGCTGTCTTACATGTCTTTTGGTTTTGTTTGTCTTTTGTGGCTGAAAAACCCCAAAAACCAGGTTAGATAACAAGATAGTCTTTTATTCCTCAGATTTCCAACAGTTGTGCTTTTCTTAAAAAGGATCTTCTAAGAGGAATTTCTATTATTTCCTAAGCCACTGCATTTTGTATTGTTGCACTGCTTCTTATTCCTATTATTTAGGTCATCAAAAACTTCCATGTGTCACAAATATCCCCTTCCTCTGTAGGGATGCTCCTGTTCACCTTTGCATTACCAACACAATAGATTCATTCATTATTTTTAGCATCAAAGCAATGGCATTTAAGTGACTTGCTGTAATGCTGATCTACAACCAGTCTCATTCAATGTTTAAAATTTTCATATTAAATAGGACTAGTTGTAGACCAGTCAGCAAGTCTCTAACCAGTGATTTCCAACCTAATGCCTTTCAGCCCCTTGAGCAGGAACAGCAGTCAGTTTTGCCAGCTTTACCATTAGCCAAAGTTCTGCTAGCAGCACAAGATCACCTCAGTTGAATTTCTGTCAATGATAGCATCTCCTGTGAGCAGGTGAGCACACACAATGACAGCATCGTGATTTGTGGGCTCCTGGATCACACCAGCTGAGAACAATAAAAGCACTTGTGCCTGGTTAGCACCTTTGTTTCTCTAAAGGATGGAAGGTAGCTTCCACATATCAAGTCTGGAAGATAGCTGCAGGCATAAAAGATGGGAAGGAAGGTATTAAGAAGCATTTGGATTGGAAAAAAAGAAATCTAGAGGACATTATTTAGGAGTCAAGATTCCTTGAGTGAAGAATAAAGCAAGGCTTGGAGGGAGAGAAGGAAGCATGTTCACGTAATTCCAGAGTCAAAAGAGATGGATGAGGAGCAAAAGCACAAAAAGAACAGACTCTCAGAGAGCAATGTATAAAAAGGCTGGTTACACATTATTGTTAAAATCAGAGAGAAATTCACACGGTTTGATGTATTCTTGACTCCACTGACAAGAAAAAAAGTTTCTACTCATATATTCACATTTTAAAGGAATAATTATATTCTACAGGTACATACTTACATCTGCAGGCAAAAATTTTCAAAAAAAATCATTTTTTAAATAGTATAACTGTCCATATTAGTTACAGATTATTTGAACCCCATCACACAAGCTTTTCTGTGTCGTTTCTCATTTACAAATAATTTCAAATTTTCAAGCAAATAAACCATTGTGTCAGTTCCCCACACACTTTGGCTTCTGGGGCATTTTTTATGAACCTGTTTTAGTTCCCACTTAATTTATTTTTACTTTAGTAGTCTTTCATTAAGGCTCCATAACGAGTTGAATTTGAAACTGCTTCACTGAAAATACTAGTAAGGAACTTGTTTAAAAAGCTTAGAAATATATGGGGAGAAAAAAAATGTTAAGCTTTGTCACTGAATCATGCATTCTCTATAATATACAGAACAGTTATATTTAAACTGTAATAAAATGCAGATATCAGATGGTTTACATTTTTCTTCTGCAGGGGAATACAAACTGTAAACTTCCATCTAGAGTGAGAATTAGGAATTCTGAGTCCCTCCAAACACTAAAGTTGAAAAATAAAGTTACCTGTAAATTTACCCTGCAATTTAGTGGAGTTAAAAATCAATTTTCAAGTTAATTAAGATTGGATTTTGCAGGCTATTCTGCTGCATATCTATGTGCATACACCTTTTTAACTCACTATTTGGTCATAAACTTTAGACATAAATGGCAAATGCTTAAGATGTGTCATTTTTCCAAGAAGCAAGAAATGCATTTTAATATATTGTCCTCCTTTTGATCTTTTTAAAGCAGTTGCTTTGGAGAAGAGATGCATTTACATCAGCCTCTTACTGTGTGATCTGCCTGTGCTTCAGCGGTTTTTTTTTTGTAATAATTTCAGATTTGTTGTTCAACTTTTTCTCTAGATAATAAAATTGTATTTCTCTTGCTAAAAAAGCAACTGAAGGGCATACATATTCATGTTGATTTGGATTACAGCAGCTATTCATGAGTTGCAGAAATTACAATCTGTATCTTAATTTGGAAATACATGACATTCAATGACAATACACGACAATGAAAATACATGACAACCAAGCAGATGGTCTGCACTGATTCGTATTTCCAATGACTAGTCTACACTAATTGCCGTGGTATAGATGCTGTGAGGAGGAATGGAGAAAGTTAGAGGAGCGGTATAAAAAAACAGTGATGCTGGCCAGAGCCCGTTATCAGACGCGGCTCCCGGGCGCCTAAAGGGGACAGCAGGAGGAGGCAAAGCGACTTCACTCCGCGGCTGTAGGTCCCGCTCACGGCTGCGGGAGCGGCTCCGCGCCCAGCGCTCAGAGGGGCCGCGGGGCCGGGCGGAGCGGGCACTTACCTGAGCAGAGGCTGCAGGAGGCCAGGGCCAGCAGCACCACGCACACCAGCTGGACTCTCATCCTTGCCGCGCCGCCCTCTAGAAAGTAAAGTCCATAAATCCTAGGGAGAGACGGAGAGAGAGAGAGAGAGACAGAGACAGAGAGACAGAGACAGACAGAGCCCGGCCGCTCCTCGCCCTCCGCACGCGTGCTGACGGGCGGCTGCAGGCACCAGACGGGGGACCCAGACCCTTCCCCAGCTATATAAGCCGCGGGGTGATGTCACGGCGGTACCGCCATCGCCTCCTGACGAAGCTCCCTCCCTCCCTCCCTCCCTCTCTCTTCCCCCCCCCGTCCCGCTGCCCCCTCCCCGCCGCTCCGCGCCCGCTGACGCCACTCGCCGCCTGACGCACTCGGAGCCCCGCGGGGCGCGCAGCGAACCCCCGCACCCACGGCCGCGGGGCGCGCCCGGCACGGCTTTTCCCGAAAGGGGACTATCCTGGCATTTTATTATTATTGCCATTATTATTTCTAAAAAAAGTTTCCGCAGGTGCTCCGTCCCCCGGCGCGGGGCCAGGGGTGGGGAGCGACCGCGCCGCCGTCCTCGTGCGGTTGACGCCCTTTTTCTTTCATCTGTATAAACCTTTCCCTACAGCAAGGGAAAGAACCGCGCACCGGTGACGGCAGGGATGTTAAACCGGGGATGGGCAGGAATGCCTGACATGAGGCGCGGCAGGGATATAACCCTGGCCGTGGGTAGGAGCGTTGCATCGGGCACGGGTAGCAGAAGAAAGAGGGGAAGAAACAAAAAGGGAAGTCAGAATGTGTGAGAGATGGAGCAAGATAACAGGAAAAGCCTCTTGACAGAGTGCTTCATAGATGCGCAAAAAATTGAGACCCGACCGGGCGAGACTCCCTATTACTTCTGAAGAGCGCTTGCCACAGCCACCCGCTGCGGTTTCAAGAGAGCGAGCGTTCCTCAGAGACATATCTCTCGGGATGTACTTTTCCCTGTTGATTTTTCCACTAGGTATCCTTCCTCAACGACGAGCACGGACCAGGCTCCGTGCCAGCGCCGCAAGGTCGGAAGGGAGCAGGACACGCCGGGACCCCGGGCGGCGGCGGGGCGGGCGCGCTCTGCCCCCGGCGGGGCGCGGGGTCCCCGTCCCCGTCTCTGCCCCGCATGCCCTGCCCGGGAGCCCGCATCTGCTCCGGGCTCTCTGCCTCCCACCTCTCACAGCTCCTGAGCCGTAAAGCCCAGAAAAATGACCCGAAGGTGAGGGCAGGGTAACCTCCAACGTGTGAGTATAAAAACGCAAAGCTGAAGACTGGCGTCAGCCCCCATCGCGCTACTGCTTTTGTTGTGAGGGGCTTTTTTTTTGTTGTTGTTTTTCTCTACTCAGATACAGACAAATGCTCCATATGTTGAATACAGATAGAGATACAATGCAGAACATTTCTGTCTCTCTGAATACATTTAAGGACAGATCCACGTGTCACACTTAGCAGGAACACACGCTGCGAGCAGATTCTTCTGTCGTGGATGTTCCCCTCACCGCGGAAATGTTCCTCTAAAATGCAAAGAGCAGAGATGGATGCTGTTTTCCTCCCATACCCTCTGTGATTGAATAGGTGTCGCAGAAACAAACAAAATTTTCGAAATCCTGCCATAACGAACACCTGGTGAGAAAAGTTTAATTAACTGAATTCTTTCCTCCCTGAAACAACTTTTTGCTGTGCAACAGAATTTAAATTCAAATGCTGCATTGGTTTATGCTGAAATAAATACACACAAAAATGAAATAGAGTGCACTGTGGTGGTATTAGATGTTTTAAGAACACGGATTTTTGCATATAGTTGGGAACACATCCTTCTGTACTACTGAGAGAGAAAATAAAAATAAACAAAACCCCCAAATCCCCCAAACATGTTTATCAACTTTTATGGGTTGTGCTAGTCTACCAGAAAGTTTCAGCTCTCATTCATATGCCTGAGAACCCAGGTTACATGAGGTAGACACTTGCACTTCCCTCTAGTCCTATTTTCTATTATTTCCATAATATAGAAAACCCAGTCTGCAGCTAATTTTGCTCTGTGGGTGTTCAATAGTTCAGAAAGCTCTATGAATGAGAATCATATTTCATAGATATTTTCTAGTGCCCACTTTCTGTCACAGAGTTCTTCAGTAGTCTAATTACCCATATTCTTATGTAACTGGAATTTAAAGGACTGATATTTTTTTCCTCAGGAAGAGACTAATTGCCATTTTTCCTGCCATTAAAATCTGCGATCACCTAATTGCTGCCTTTTTTGTTTTCTTTTTTTTTTTTTTTTCCCCAGAGGTAATATGAAAGGGACAAATATATGGTATGTTTTGAACCATATTTTTTTGCCATTTGTCTGTTTCCATTTTCTTTTTCTTGGGAACTGACAAGGCAGAAACTTCAGTGTTGAAAATCTTCTTTGCTTTCTTACCATGTTTTATGTTCCTGATGTATTATCTTCAAGTTCCCTGGATCAGGCTCAACTGAGCTTGGATAATTATATTTTTTTTCAGTAGAACTCAGCTGTCATCTGTTTCTCAGATACTCCTTTACTTACTTTTTCTACCTCTTTCCTACATCTGTACCTTGTAGTGCTTCACAAAGAATTGTATAATAGGAATTTTAACCCTTTCAACAGGTAATATCCTAAATCACCTCAACTTCAAGTCATCTTCATATCACATTTCCCCCAATGCAGAAGAGAAGCTTCTATAAGCAGAAAAGCCAACCTCTTTGCAGATCTGTCTCTCTCCCCCTTTTATTTTTAAACATTCTTAGCTAAAGAAAATATTTATAACTATTCATTAGTGCAAGTCAATTTCGGAAGCTCAGTTTATCTTTACTTGCTCTCAGCATGTGATTTAGATGGCCTGTCCAGGCCTATAAATCAGGTCATTCACAACTGTGAGGCACTGGAGATAACAAAACAATCAGGCAAATGGCAGATTCATGGAAGAACAGATACATAAACCTCTATTTACTTTGTCATAAAACTACCATCATAGCATATGGATAACACCGAACACAAAAGCTGTAATCATCAAACAGAAGGAGAGAACAATTCTGCTAATGTTCCTGCAGTACAAGGTACTGGGGAGTACAATAAGGAACTCTCAGTATTACAGTTATCAGTCTTATGTCTTTGGAGTAGAAATAAACACAAAATGAATTTAAGAAAATTCAAGATGCTCAATCTTGCCATTAAATATATTTATGTCTCAGAATTTTTTTATGTTTTTTTAATTTTTTTTTAGCTAAACCTAGCGGTAGTTATACAAGGATGAAAACTCCAAGAGGAATAATTCTGGGGGTGGTCATCCAGAAAATGTTTCATATAGCAAACTGGCTAAAGATACTCAAAGTCTTAAATTTGATTTTAGATATGGTGATTAACCTGCTTTACCCCTACAACAGTTTGGCCATCAGCAGTTTAGGTTAACATGCTGGGCAGAAAACTGATAACTCAATTTCTATCATGTCAGGTTAAGGGACAAGCTCAAGCAAAGCAGAAGGACAGACAGGCAAGGGAATTCAAAACACATTTAAATCATGAATGTAGTCAGACACTGCAGCAGAATTTCCCAGGCATTGTGAATTCTCAGCATCTCTTTTCCTGAGATTAAAAATAAGTCAAGGGGGTTTATTGTGTTTGGTCAGCACAGTGATGCTCAAAACTTGATGGTGTATTCAACTGTTGAAAGTCCTGGAGACCACCTCTGCTGCAAAGGATATCAGAAAAGAATTCAAAAATAAAAGGCAGATGGTGCTTTACCCATTAGATCATTTTGAGCATCCTCTCTACTTCAAAGCTAATCTCCTTTAGTCATTCAAGGACTCAATTTTTTAGATTTGTGAGGTTGTGCACTTTAAGGAATCCTTGAGAAGTTGACTGAGTAGTACCAAAGAGCTTACTGATACAGAAAGAAACCCAAACACAGCAGCAACTACATTATTGGCTGAATCAGAAGAATTTCTTGATATGCAACAAATTTCTGACACATTTTAAGGAGCCAGAAATCTGTTGAAACTTCCTGGATGTCCAATGAGCTCACCCTTTGTGCTTTAAAGTTCTGGGGTCTAAAACTGTGAAAGTGGCATTCTGTGCATCTTCTCCATATGAGGTATACATGTATGGCAGAGATTTTTTTTTGATGTTTTGGAGTTCAAAATAGCAACACCATCTCAGTACCCTGGGGAATCATGATCCTCAAATCACAGAAAGCTTAAAAGTAGCATTTTAACAGAATAATCTGAAGTATCATTTCTCTTTTTATTTTTTTTTTCCCATTAAAGCACCACCGTTACATTTCCAGAACTTCGGAATTCTCTTAACCCTTCTCATGAAAAAAATAGATTCTATATTTACATTACTATAAAGTAAACACAACATGTATGCATCAACACACCAACAGTTAAAACAACAGAAAATACAAAATTTTAGGACACACACACACATATCTATAACTATTTGGAAATTGTTTAATAGAAAAAAGGCCATGAGAAAACAATCTTAACTCCTACTCCAAATTTCCATTTCCTTTTATTTGTTTCCCCTTTTACTAAAATCCTTTTATATGAGAAAGCAAACAGTGCAGTTAGTAGTGCCACCACAGTGTGTCATGGGAGTTATGCTTCGGGCACCTCCTCCTTACTCTCACTTCTCAGCAATTCATTCCCAGGTTAGGCTGAATCTTTCTCATTTCTCTGATTACACATTTTCCCCAAATACCTAAGTTAATCAATTTTTAATTTCTCTCCAGTGAGCTATGAATATTTTAATTTAGGTTCCAGGGTATAATATATACAGAGACATGGGTGAAAAGCCTGATATAACTTTGTTGAGTATTGAATATTCATGTAATCCACTGTTCATCAGACTAAACATGCTTTGAAATTTTGTGTTAAATTGATGAAATAGTTAAAAGTTGCAAAATTATTGTCTTAATACCGTTACTGTTGGACTGATAACAATGACTACTGACAATTCCTGAAGGAGTAAAATTAAATTGATTTCAGAGGGTTGACTCTCTTTGTCCCATGATATTCAGTTTTTGTCAGCAATTATTCTTCAGCATTCTGTGGAACATGTAACCAAAGACATAAATATGCACTGTTATATTACACTGGTTCAATTATGCCATATAAATAGGAATTGGACTCCACACTCTGAAACTTTTGAAATCA